GGCTCGGGCGGCGGGCCTGGGCCCGTGGGCGTCGCAGAGCTCGTCCGGAGCGGAGCCGTGTTGAGGCGGTGGTTTTCTCCACCTAACAGCAGCCTCGTCACCACCACTGAGAAGTTAGTAATGTTTAGCAGATGCCTCTTCAACAACAATAATAAAAAAATGAAGTAGCAGGGGTGCCATAGCCAGTACCTGCAATTATCCAATTTCATTAAAGACGGCAAATTAGAAAACGGACGTCACGGAGTTCTGCTACATGATTCTCTCCATACTTGTGAAAATTGATGCCTGCCGACCCGGTGACACATCCCGCTGGGTCTCGGGAGCGTCCCCGGGGAGGTCCCGTGCCCCCACGCTGGGCTGCGCTTCAGCCTCGCGCCCGGGATCGCGCTTGGCTTCGGCGCGCGTGACTGGCGGCGACTGCACATGGCACCGGGGAAAAGCCCCGTCCGGCCGCGTGATTCCCAAAGCGACCAAAAAATAAAATAAAATCAAGCCACAACTTCTCTTACACAAAGGATTGGCCTCAAACAGCTGAAATCCTAAGCTGGGTCTACTTGTGGTGAGAGACCTGAGCTGGGAAATCAGACCTGGAAGGCTGACGGGTGCTTGGATTCCAGCTGGGAAGAGGGAAGTGCCACCCTTCCCTGCGGAAAACTGGGTCCGTGCCACAGTAGCAGGACAACTGGGCAGGAGGGGGTTTGTGCATTTGCTTTTAATTGCTAACGTGATAACCCTGTCCCTGACGGACCCCCCACCAAGCTCTGTGAAAAGTAAGATCTGCTCATATGCCGCCTCAGTAGTTTAAATACCGCCTCAGCTGTTTAGGGAAACCTCTGGGAACAAAACCTACTGCTTTGTGTCTCCTGTTAACCTGCTGGGCGTGAGGCACTGTACTGCCCCTCCAAGCTCCCCTACAGACAGCCCCAGGGGACACCCGGGTTTGGCTGAAGCCTTGCCCACACACCCAGGCGCTACCTGTGCGCCACGGCGGTGAGTCACACCCTGCACCACAGCTCCACTTCCCCACCGGTAACCTCGCCCCTGCCCAGGAGGCCCAGGCTCAGCAGCAAACGCAGGGCAAGACATTTCAGCCAAAATACTTGTTTCATGCAAGGAGCATGCTCATGATCAAGAGGCAGAGATCCTAATGGCGTGGGCCAGCAAGTTGGTTTTGTAGGCAGAAGAATTCATCTTTGCACAAAATTGAGAATGAGTTCTTTGCAAAGCTTTGGGATATGGTCAGAGCTGTTTCCTTATTCTGAAGGGGAAAAAGGACTGTAGGGCCTGAGAGATGCCAAGTGGAAGAACAGGAGGAGCTGTCGCTTGGGAAGTGCTTCCTAGCTGGTGGTGGATATTCATTTAATAACCTCTGTTCCCTAACAGATGCTGGACCTGTCCTGGGTGACATGAAAAGGATGAGAAAGCTGAACAAGCAAAAGCTGGGTGAGCTACTGGTGGAGGAAATTGCTGTCCCAAGTAACACGATGGGGCTGATGCACCAAGTGCATGTGTTTTAGCTTCCCCGATGTTATTTTTCCCATAGCTGTCTTTAAAGAATTCCTTTAAATTGTAACACCTTGAGGCAGGAAATCTCTTTACTTACATATAAGGAACTGTGATCGTACTGTAAAAAACAAGAACACAGATATGCTGTTGTCTTTCTTGGGGATTTCCCTTCTCTTTGCTGCCTTTCTTGCCTTCTCAAGCAATATCTCATATTTTAATTACCACCAGACATAGCTGTGATGTAAGAGTTTAGTGTTACTTTCTGTATCTACTGATACTACAACCATACTTAGTGGCAACTTTTTAATAGGTGCCTCATTATGGTAATTATGATCACTTCAACTATTTCAAAATAGCTCTTCCTGCAGTGAGGCTCATCATCCATATTATGTCATATTCAGTTCTCCTTTTTACAGCCGTTCTGGCTGGGTGCTACAGCATGCCCCGTCCAAAGCTAAATTTCCTGACTATCTGCACTGCCTCAATTTTGGGAGAGTTTCTCGGCATCTTCAGATGTGAAGATCTTCACGGCTGGAAGAGCAAGGGGCACCTCCAGGCAGGGAGACCTGCCTGCAAGTCTGGATGATCCACCCCTTGTAGCTAAGAGCCTCTTTATATTGGTTCGGTAGTGCTTGCCTCCAGTCAAGAGCTGAATGTGATTTTTTTGCATTTTACAGCATTTGCATTTTGTTGCCTCAACCTATACAGCCCCCAGTGTGGGGACTGCCTTTTACTTTGAAACAGAGTGGCTACATCCCAGCTGCGCATTGAGTATGATTTTGGCACACAGTATCTTCCAAAACATCCATAGAAGTGTTGGCTTCAGAAGGTCATTTGGATCAGACTCCTGCTTCAAATGGGACCCAGAAGCTGTCTAGAAAAGTACTAATTGGCACAAGCCAAACTTCTTCCAGGTAGCATACTAATAATTAAATATTGCATGCAGTAATGACTCGGTAGGTCCCCTGTTGTATTTACTAATATACAGATAGCTGGTAGTTAAAAATGTCTTTAGTTTTACCACTTTTTTTTTTTCTTCATTCCCCAAATCGGAGTGCCGCAATCCCAAGTCCTTCTCCTGCTCCCTGTACTATTGGAGGCAGACCACCACCCTTTTGGGTGTGTGAGAGCACCTTAAAGGCAGAGGCTTAGGAGATGTGTAGGGAGGGCACAACCCACAAGACCTCCTGTGAGAGGGGAGCCTACAGTTTGTGCAGAGGCTGCAGGATGGCTGCTACAGGACCTGTATGAGGGCTTGTGCGTAGGTTGTGGTGGGGATACAGACTATAGCCAGCCAGTGCTTCTGTTGCCATTGGCAGTGAGGTGAGAAGCATGTTTCAGGGCCGGGCTGAGAAAAGAGTTTCAGTCCCATTATCAAATCAAATGATCCATTGCAGACAACTGTTTATCCTGTACAGATTTGCCATGGACATATAGGGGTAGAAAAGTCCAGAATAAGCCACCCTGGATTCTGACTTTGGCTACGGCAACAGAGAGGAGTTTTCTGTCTGCAGGAGACATGGCGTGATGGCAAAGTGGCCAGAAGTTATCTGTGGCAGCAGTGGAGGGATGGAGACTGGGAGGAATCCTGCCTGATGAGGCTGTTCTCTGGCCATTTTACAGCTCACTCCCATCCTCTGAGTAGCATATGAGGGAACTAAAGTGGCTGCCTTTGTTTATCCTCATTAATTTTTAAATTCCAGAGTACCAAAACTTGTGGCACTGTATGTTGAACTAGGTCCTACGAGTATAAATAAAACCTGAGCTGGTCATCTTCCCAATAGGGAATGAAAAGTCTACTGCTGCTTTAAAAGTCAAGACCTCGTTGATGTCTCAAAAGGTTTTAGCCCTCTCTTCCCAAAGTTTTAGCAAAGCTTGCACATTTACAGACACAGATCCATGCATATATGCACAACTTGTGCTGACCTGTCACGTAATCATGTATTTTCAGTGACATGCTTCTTCAATTCTTTTTTTTAAACTGAAATTTGCTCCTTTGCCACCTATTAAGCTGCAGTCTGCGTTCGTATCTACAGGAGCTTTACTACTAATTGTGGGAGCTTTGCTTCAAGTCTGTGGGAGGTTTGCTACATGCCCGCACCAAAGAACTCCATAGCAAAACCAGATGTGTAATCTCTCTTAGTTAGTGTTTTACACATACTCTCAGAGGTCTCCTGATTCTTGTCCAACAAGTACTTATGCAGTATTCCTGCAGGTAAACTACAGTTATTCCAAGGAGCACTTTGAACATGCTTGTTTAAGGCATTTTTCCTTTCAGCTAATAGGAAGCATAGTCGACTTCTTTCAGGAAACCTGTATTACAAGGCTTTCATATGTGCTAAGGATTCAAGAAGTCTTTACATTGCATAATATATTCATCTACCCAAGCTGGTTTGCTTTCCTCAGTACTTGGAGATCAGCACTAGTTTCTACAAACTCTTTCTATTTAATTTACGGTCAGTTTTACATGACTTAATCTTATCTCCTTATGCTCCAGAACAGATAGTGATAATAGTTGCCTTGAAGCACTTGATATTGTCAAAATTTTTAAAAATTCAGATTTGCTGGGCATCCAGACTTTGAGCTACTAATTGTGTGAAAAATAGCAGCAAAGAAATTGGCTGTTTCTGCCTGCTTGACTCTTTCCAGATTATTCAAACAATATAGAAGAACTGGAGACCCATTGCTCAGTCCCTCTCAAGATTATCCCCCATTTCTCTTTACTATATTAATATTTTATGAAAATGCTGGAGGTATACAGCCACTGTTGAGTAGTGCTGCATATCCCAGTCTCTGTTTGGTGTAGATGCAGTTCAGGATGTTTGTCATACCCATGCTGACCCTGTGATGTCTGGCCATTCCCTGTCCACTGCTTAATTGGACCTCACCAGGTACAGCCTTTGGGCAATTATTCCTTCAGTATTTCCTCCCTTCTCATTCTTTTACTTCCATTCAAGGCAAGATATCCTACCCTTTTTTCTTCTAATAGTAATTTATTTCTATTTTGGTACAAGACACTCTTAAGCTCTCTCCTGCTTGGTCCAGCCATTTCTGTCAAGAATTTCTCTAAATCTCAACTTCTCTCTCCCATTAGC